TATCTTTACACAAAATTAAATAGAAGTGAATTTTACTTTTTTTTTTTTTTCCTTTTTTTTTTAATGACGGGGAAACCCGCAATCGCTACCTTTCGGATGAGCATTGGGTAAACCTTCGAACTGGCGCAATAGCCTGCAAACCACGCCAATTAAATAAACCGTACTTGACAAGCCCAATGTGACATACTTGATCGAGAAAGTATTGATAGCGGGAATTGAACACATAATCAAAGGTCTACGCGTCGCCTATTTCATCAATTCGACCACCTCATGAGGGACAATTTTACTATTTTTAAACATAGTCAAATGTGTTGTTACTCTATTATTTTTTCTAGGTGACAAATTCTCTGTCCTAGACATAACTTACATATTTCATCAAGAATGATAAACATGATAGATTACCAATGGAATTAATAAATTATCAATGGACAACAAATACAGATATTTTTTTTTATTACTTTTATATATGGAGATTAAATTATCTAAAGATTTACTGGCACGGAGATTAAGGAATAATCCCCTTGAACGACCCCCTACGACCAGGGGTGTTCAACAAGAACGATCAAAAGATTAAATTACGTACAGAGTTATTGAAGGAAAAGTTCCATTAAAAAAATCTCATTGGTAAAAATAAATTAAATTTATTTCAACGGATTTTTCCACATGTAATTTCCTTCATAACCATGCCAAAAAAGAAAAATTAAATATATCAATAAATGAAAACAATTCGTTGGTATCTTGGATACATTGTGGAAAATGTAGATATCTTGAATAAATAAATTTTGCGATTTAAAAAATGAATTTTCAAATATTCAACTTACAAGGAATCATTCAAAATATTTATTAAAACTATTTCGACGGTAAACTCTTTCATTAAGGAAGGGAAGAAGGGGCCTAAACATGGCAGATGCGGTACACTTGAGTTAACTTCTTTGTGTCTTCTTCTTGCATAGAAGAATGCAACTGTTGCTATAACTGGGATTTTAGTAGTAGGTTACAGATGATCCTATACTAGAAGAAGAAGAAATGGAGCATAAAATCACCTTGCTCTAAGAGCATGCCATGAAAGAGAGACCCAAAATGGCGAAACAACATACCCGTTTAAGCATAGTCGCCCGTCTAAGGTTTCGGGACAAAAAGAGAGGAAATGAAATACGAACAACTGCACTGGTCGTAATAGATTGACTTTCATGCTAGTTCTTGCTCCAGCATGAAAGTTTCATTTTTTACATGTAGAATGAGACTCTATCTTTATTCTCGTTTGATTAATCAGTTCTTTATGCAAAAAAATAATTTTGTTTTTATTTTCTAAAAACATAAAAATTTAGTAAAACCACGATGAGTTTACTGTGACCATGATGAGTTTACTGTGACCAAGTCAAATATATAGATAAGATGATCCTCAAACAATTTGATCACCAAGATCCGATCAGTAGTCCATAAATAAGGGTAACATGGTCGAATCGAATTAGCTCATGTTATTTTATCTCTAAGCACCTACGAATCACAGTAGATCCATTCTTAAAAAAAGCTAATTGATCTCTATCTATTGTTGTCTTGGCCGTAGGAAAGTCTACAATGGACACCACACTCGTTTCCCCCTATGTTTTTCAATGGTTCTTTCGTTCGAGTTTTCCAAGTTTATTGTTGGGAAAGGGCTATAGGTGATGGTGCGTTCTACTTCTTAACTTGAGAGGGGCGCTGAAATCCTTTCTATTGGCCCTTTTTTTTTTTTTGTTTTTTTGGGCATTCTAGCAAGCAAAGATTTGTAAAACCATTGCAGTAGAGTCATCGGGTGAAATGCGAAATTGCTGTAATTTTGTTTTTGTTTCATGCATATGATATACAATTATTAAACTCGACTCCTTGAGCTCTAGGCTTGAGAACGGGAATCCAGATTGTTAGGGTCGACCCAAGAATCGGCCGTCAATTAATCGGGTTGGTTCTTTAAATGAACTAATCATATTGAACCAAGAAAACAAAAATAACCCGGTAAAAATCAGTTGACCTTGTGACACGAAATCAATGATTAAATCGATTTAATAAATTTAATTTTTAATTGTATAAAAGTGTATACATGTTTAGAAAATATATTTTTACCAAACAAACCATCTTATTGACTTATTCAAATCATAGGATCTCCTACCATTAGTTTTCATTGTAATCACCATCTCTCCAGTCTCCACCTCTTTTATTTAACTCTCTCTAATTTCATTTCCAAGTACATTGTATTGAGTAATAAAATGGCGTTCCAACCATAGGGAGTAGTTTAGTGGTCATGATTTAGGTTTGCTCCCTAATGGTCATCAGTTTGAGTCCCCTCGGGATCACTGAGGTGAGTACTCGACTATAAATTTCAGAATTCGTGGGATTAGTCGAGATGTGCATTAATTGGCCCGAATACCCATGATTATAAAAAAAAAAGTAATAAAATGGCGTTCCGTTAAACTTGATATTTCATAATATAAAATATTTGCTATACTTACCATTTTAATGTAATTGTTGTTATTGTTTTACGTATATTTAAAATGATTAAGGAAATATAAATTGAAATTGACTCATCAGTTCAACTGTCGACAAGTCGATTGAACCAATAACTCGATAATCCACTTCTTTGTCTGGGTCAATGTTAACTACGATTAGAATACTGAAATTATGGGATTATAAATAGATTTATTTGCAATTTCATACTAGTTTGTTTTTGCACATTATAAATTTCACCTTTTAACACTCTTAATTCACAAGAAAACCATAATTAGCACTATTTTTTTTCTAAATACAAAAAAAAAAAAGAAGATTGAAATTAATATTGAATTATTCAATTTGCCAACCGAAACAACAATGAAACGTCCATAGTCATTTAGCTGTAATGCAAGTCGTAGGTAATTTTGCAACAAAATCAATTAGTCAGTAATAATCGACGTGTATATCTATTGTTAAACCTACTGGTAATTGTCGATGCTTTGTAATTCATCGATAATTACCAAGAAGCTTTTACCTTTGAAATTTACCTATGACAAAATTTATAGGTAAATCGTGTTACCAATGAAAATAAGAGGATTAACTACGGAAAATGAAACGTTGATGTTGCATATTTTAGTAACAAACGTTTTTTTCTAAATAAAATCTTTTTTATACTTAATTGAATTAAGGATAATATAATTAAACTGCTTTTTGGTAGATCTAATACTTATTTTGGACGAAAACTATTAGATGTGTAGAGCATAAATTATATTTTTAACGTTTTCTCTTCACTGCGATATAACATAATATTTCGTCTCATAAAATGTACTAGAGCAAATCCTTCATCTTTTTCCCCTTTCTCGTAGAGGCAAAAAAAATGTTCATGAGTCAGAAAATGAATGCATTTTTCCTTCTTCTTCGTTATAATTAATCATATAACGGCAAGTAGATGTAACTCTAGCATTGAGTGGATCACTGTAAATTTTGTTCTATATTTGCTTTCATTTTTTTATTTTTTTTTATTTTTATTGCTCTCAATGATACGAGATTGGACATTTTATCCGACATAAATTTGAATGCTAAAATTTAAATTTCAAGAAAAAAATTGGAGATTTGTATGGCAATGATTTCAAAAATTGAAGCTGATTTGATTTGAACAAGTATTTCCCGAATTTCAAATAAAATGGACACCTGATCACAACTGAAGATACATAAGAACTAATTCAATAATTCTAGATTTTTAGTAACATTTCTTATTCACTAATAACTTACCATTCATCATAAGAAATTAATTAATCTGCATATGTTTGATAATATAATCAAAATTATTTTTTATTTACCATGACAAGTGAATTGTCAAATAATAAAATAATTAATTTAAATACAGTACAATTTATAATTATGATTAAAAATATTTTCTATTATCCCTTTGGAATTAGGTAACTAATTTGCATAAGTTTGATAATTATAATTAAAATTATTTTCTATTATCTTATTATTGTCTTCTATTATTAGTTATGTAGGTGCTTTCTATAATTTATTGGAGATTGGAGACCAAGTGTACAATTTAATTAACTTTGCAATTGGGTCTTTAAGAACAACCGCCTGAATTTTTTTTCTTTGTTTTTTCATTTGATTAATAATTTATATAATTGAAGTTCATGAAGCTTTCTAGGATGAGATTCAAAGCAATATGTGGATAGGTTGAAGGTCGAAAATGCACGAGAGAGTTGTGTCCATGGGTGGCACGACAATCGGAGTGGAGCCTGCTGTGCCTTCGGCAATGGTGACCATTATTATCTTCCTTTCGATCTCGAGCAGTGAATGGATGTTAATTTAGTTGAAGGCTAGAAT